CTTCATTGTAGTATTTCATAAGAACAGGTTGGGTATCAATTTTATTTTGCCTATTCAAAATTTTGTTTTGTAAATGAATCCTGCTTTGCATGGTATTTTAATATTTGTTTTGTATTGTGACAGATTCAACTGTCACAACTATGTTGCAATTTCATTTGCACATGTCCACAGTTCCTTCACTTTGGTAATCTATCAATCCTGTGGGCTCTCTGGCTTATGTATTTTTTTCTGGTAAAAGATGATGTCTGATCTCAAATTACTTTGGACTGTACCCATAGCTTTAATTACTGTATCTGCTAATTTTGATAATAAATTATATGGTATAAAATACTATCAAAATTGATCAGGTGCTTGCTTGGTTCTGTAATAGAGAACAGCTACATCAAAACTGCCTCACCCAGAGACATTCTTGATGACTCACTCTCTTTTCTAGAATTCATTTCTATCTCATATAAACATCACAATGATGAACATAACATTCAAAATTTAGAAAGGAATATTATGGGTACACACTTTGTGATTATTTTACAAGTATGATGGCTATAATAAGGAACTATCAATTCATTTATGCTTAATTTTTGTTAAAAACACCAAAGTGATGAAATGGTTCGTTATAAATTACAGCTATTTTTCCAAGTTTTTCATCTGGTTTAGATTCAGTGTTATCATTTTAATGAAAAAATTTTTAATCTTATGGAAATGAATTCAGAATTTCTATCAAAATCAACTTTCAATATTCAACAGTTCTCAAATAATTATCTTCCTTTGACACACAATGATAACCTTTCAAAATAAGTAGCTCTAATAACTGATAATAACTGTAGTATCAATAAAAATCTTTCCTTTGCATATTCTGTCATTCTTCAGACTTGTTTAAAGATTCGTCACAGACGTGAAAGTTTCCATGCATTCCTCAGGCAAAAAGTTATCACACGTTTGATTACGTGGCAAATCTCTTAACTTTGCAAAATCTTTTAAATCCATTGGCTCTTCAACAAAAAAAAATATACGACAAACGAGAACATTGTCTAATAAATAACGTAAAAATTTGCCCATGCACTTTACATTATTATATATGATTTGACAGCACATCATACATCTCTTCCATATAGAGAATATCCATTTCTCCTATATCTATCAGGATAATTTTGCCTAAATCTTCATCTTGATATCCACATTTCCAAATCCCCCATCAAACTCAATTAATTTAAAGATACATAAATCAACATCTAACACATCTGATTTGAAAGCATCTAAAAGGTAGAACGCTTCTTCAGTAATTTGAAAGTGCTTAGTGTGATTTATAATCAAAGGAAATAAAACACTACCAAAATACAGAAAAAATTATTCCTATCTGAGTGTGAAGTCCCTTTTCTTGAATATGTAGGCAGTTCCATAATATGTTGGAATTAGCAGGGCATCCAACTACTGCACTTTTCACAAAATATTTTATAAGCGTGGAAGACCACTAATAAAAGCTTTCAGAGTTTTTGTTTCCCACTGTGACCCAGATTTTTAAGCATTCGTCCAAAAACTCCATCCGGGCCAGGAGATTTAGTCATGTTTAAAAAGGTCATAGCAAGGAGCAGTTCCCGCTGGGAGAAGTCCCCAGATAAGTCTTGATCGCCCATGTCAGTGGTTCGGCAGTCGCGAATGATGTTTTTTGCTTTTTTCAAAATGGGTTTATTTTCTCTAGTGAAGACCAACTTGCTAGTTGCCTGGTAGTAGGCTGCAAGGCCATTTGCTGCCGCTTTGTCATCAGGAAAAACCTGTCCATCTGAGTCAATTACTGAGTTACTCTCTTCGCACTGTTCTTATTCTTTGTTGATATTTTTAACAATTCGCCAAAGTTTCGAATTATTAGTCCTAGAATCCAGATTTTGGCACAGTTCTCTCCATCTCGATCTCTTAAAATGTGCATAAGATGTCTTGATTTCCGCATTAATCTTATTAATTTCTGTCCTAAGACCAATATTACTGTTATTTGAACCAACACTGTCATTCAAAGACTCAAACAATTGTTTTCTTCCATCCAAAAGTGGTTTTAAATTAGCTTAACAATTACCTTAATATTTCAAAATACCACGACGTTCATCTTCAGTGGATACCATCCCACATTGACATCTTTGGCAATGAGCAAGCGGATCGCTTGACCAAGAAGGGCTGTAGTCATTCAACACCTTCATCCTCAGTCCTTACCTACTCAGAGAATCAGTCCAAAATCAAAAGCCATCTATCAAAAAAGTGGAGGATCTCCCCCTCTCATAACTGGTATGCGGCCAAGGAACTCTTCACTTGTTCATATAGGTGATAGAGCATCTCAAACAGCAATCTCCAGATAGGCAAGTGGGCACATGAATAGTCTTTTGTACTTTGAAGGAAGTAAGACTTATGCAGTCTGCTCCAAATGTGAAGCCCAGCAGGCCTCTGCCGAACATATCCTTGACTGCTTGGGCCTTTCCAAGGATATGCTACTCCACTTCTTGTCATCGACTTTTTGAGGGTCAACAACCTATTGGATCTTGTCTGACTCCGTCAGACAATTGGAGGATAAGGTACAACAACAACAAGAGTTTTTGATAATTTTGCTAACATTTTAAAAGCCTCACCACAAGGCAGTTGGAACGAAGAAGTGTTTCATAGCAAATTTTGAATCATTTAAATGCAGTGGAGCTGAAAATAACTTTAAATCAAATTTGCAAAATATTGAATCATACATAAAAATATAAACTTAGATGCCACAAGAAATTTTCCCAAAAAGCGCAGAAAATTGGCAGTCCTAAAATACCAACTCAACTTTCACTTCCCTAAACTCTGATAAAAGCATGGGGTTGATAAATATTTCTTCTCCACTCCACCAAAAGCTATAACACAGACTTTTTTTGTTATACTAAATTCAAATAGATTTTTCAAGTAAATAAACTATCAAAAACTGAATTTTCATTCTCAAACTATTGATAAACATTTTCAAAATATAAACTATAGTCCATCTTATCTATCTAAAGAACTAACTTTACCACACATCTGAAGCTAGCAAAATAAGAAAACGCACATTTTAAGAGGGTGAACTTTTGATATTTCATGTGCCAATCCCAGCAAAAATTCCTATTAAATGTTTACCATGCACCCTTATTTGAAATAGTTCATAGTTAAAGTTCATTAATGAAACAGTTCATGAGTTAAAGTAAATAAAAGAAATCCATGGCAAAGACTAGTATTCCCATTTGGGAACATTAAAATATCCCTTTTTTATGAAATTTAACTTTACTTTTTATGTAACTTAATTGTATTCAACACACATGTAGTATGGTATACTACATATTACTTAAAATCATTTGTTAATTCTAATTTCATTATCTAATCATTATCTAATGTATCTAATCATCATCATTCATCTAATTTAATAATCATTTGTTAATTGTTAATTTGTTAATAATGTAATAAACAGCTTAAATAATTACGTAAGTTAAAATTGTAACTGTTAAATTTGTGATAAACTTTTAATTGTATGGTTTTTAATTTCTTCTTTTTACACTTGTAATTAATGTTATTTATTTGTTATTCAATATTATTCAATAATTCCTTGAAATATTTTCTTGTAATCTTTAATATTTAAGTTTTAAGCCTCAAATATATATTTTTGTAACCTTGGGAAAGTAATCTTTCTCTATATTTATGTTCTTCCTTTAAAAGAAGATTCCTCCTTTTGTTGCTTCACTGACAGCAAGATGTATGTCCAGTCAGCAAACCCCTTTGTTGGATTGAGAAGGAGTGACCTCAAGTCCGTTTTCCCACGTTTTGGCTAACATCATATGCAAAGCGCCCCTTTTGATCTTATGATGGCACCAAGAATGTTCCAGAACATTCCACAAAATTCTTTTTCAGGTGTGTCACCACTTTTGACAACCCTGCTCCATGTTTGGCACGGAGCATAACAATTAACTTCGCCAGTTGGCCAATATTTGCAGCTCTGTGATTTGCCCCTCTGATCCTTCTCCGTCCAACCAATGCGATATTCATAAAATTTTGATTTTTTTCGGCGAGGTTTTTCTCGCCTATCTTCATAACGAAGAAACAGTTAGTCGTTACTTTTCCCCTCACAAGTTTTTATGTTTTTTTTTGTTTGTGTTCGGCTTAGGCCGAGAATTTTTGTTGGCCAGTTTGCCATGTTTTTACGTTAATCATGTTACTTATAAATAAATATTTTTCTTTACTGTATGTCTGGTGAGTAATTTTACTGTATAAGTTGTTTTCTCTTCCTTTTTTTCAGCATGTTCCTCTGTTGCACTTACCTGAACTTTTGCTTCATTCCCAATGTATCCCTCTATCATTTTTTTCGGCCTTTACATAATTAGTCTGTGAATTTTGTTTAATATTAAGTTGACTTAGTGTTAGTCATCCCCTTTTTTCTCCCTTTTTATTTAGCCACACCACAACACAGTTTTAAACTTTTTACTTCATAAATCAACCAAGTGTAAAACAGATTTGAGTTTTAAAAGCATCTTCTTTCTTTTTTGCTTGTACATTTACATGATGTGAATACATAAAAAGCTGCATGCTGGTATATTTTCTTCTACCTTAACAAGCTAAATTTTTTTAGCTATGAACATTTGAAAAAAAATTATATTTTTGAATTCATAAAATTAAAATTAGATAAAGTATTCTAAATATTATATTTTAATTTCAAAAAGAATTTTTTAAAAACCCTTAATGGGCACATTAGTACTTATGCACTAATGGGTGCATTAGCACTAATGGGTGCATTAGCACTAATGGATTAAGTAATTAACTGTTATTTTAGAATGATTAATATAAAAAGCTATGAGTAAAAACAGATGATTTATAGTAACAAAATATAAAAAAATAAAAACAATTAGTAAAACAGAAATACCATACAAAACCATTTAAATATAACACTGGCATTTACTCAAAACATTTTAGATTTAATAAAAAGAAATTAATCATTTTAATAGGAATATAATACTTAAAAAATATATTACCCGATGCAAGCTTCTCTTCTCTGTCACTTGTTTCAAATCTTAAGATTGAAAACTGGGGTAATTCAGCTCTCTCGATTCCTGATATTGGTTCTTTCATCCAATACATTACAACATCCTTTACTGTATATCCATCTGACAAATGAAATAAATTATGTGACATTTATAGATAAGTTAATTTCTAATTAAAATAATTAATAAATTTAAAAAATGGTAATTCTACAAAGTGAAATCTCAAATTTTGGATAAAACTACTGAAAAAGGTATGTTAAAAACAAAATCATTAAATGCTTAAAATACATTAAAATTTAATACATACAACTAATTTGCGAATCACAAACAGCTTTAATTTAATTTTAAGCTGAAAAAATTTTCCAACTTCTGACAGAAATTTTTAAAGCTAACGTAGTAGTGGATTTTTAAAAAAATTTTAGAATACCAAATAAGAAACTCAATACTACAACAGATATAGATAATTTCTACACTAAATTTGAAGGAAAAAATATCAGGCTTCATAAGTAGCAATATCTGAATCCAATTTTTTCAATCCTTAAAACTGAAACAGTTACAGGAATTATCATTGATTTCACCAGTAATGTAAGCTTAGTTAATTATTGATATTATTTATTGATTTTACCAAGGCTTTAAAAGAGGTTTCAAAAACACGAATCTGTCAACATTTTAGCTATATATAGCATTTGATAAAATATAGTTTTAAGCAAAATTAAATAATAGGAAAAAAATGCTATTGAGTAATACAAAAGTGATTCAACTGTAACTGAACTTGTAAGAAATTTCTCTTGACGTTGTAAATGCAGTTAATATTTCGTTCTTGCATTTTTTTTTACTCACATAATTATTCAATTGTTTAACATTTTGACCACTATCTACTATAAACACATATTTGTGATAAGTTACATTTATATTTTTAAAAAAAGTCTGCAATTTCGGATAATGATAAAAAAGAAATCAATAAACCATTTATTTATATGAGTATTTTTAAAGACTTTAAAATCAATTGCTACACCAGCTACAGTGCTTGTAGAAAACCTGTGGAGACTAAACTGTTTGAAATAGTTGTTCTACTTCTTAATTTATTGAAAAAATAACAAGAAACAAATTACACTAAAAAAAAGCTTGACATGTTATGAATAATGGAAATCCTTTGTGCTATCATATATATTTGACACTAATGCAGACATGCCAACCTGGAAAAATTAAGATTCAGGATTTTCCTCAGCAAGAATTCAGATTTCAGGATGGGTAAAATAAGTATGATATGTGACATATTTAACACTTCTAATGAAATACTTTAATTAAAAAATTATATAAATAAAGGAATGCAAGACATTTTACAAAACAAAAGAGAACAAATTATGGAAGGAATCTAACTTTTAATCAAGTATGTTGTTGTAAAAAAAGTAAACGTAAAATTGAAATTTAATATTTACAATAAGCATTCCTTAAATTTGTTCATTTTTTTTTATAATCAACATCAAGAAAGCAAAAAAATAATGGGAAAATACTGATTTTTATTCCTAAAATATGGTTTTTTTTATTCAAAAGCAAATACCATTGTCTTTTTGAAACATTGTGGAAAAATCTTTGACACTGTAAAAAAAAATGTACAAAAAAAATTTTTAAAAAATAAACAAAAGAATCATTTTATTTTAAATTAGATAAATTCAATTAATTATATTACAAATGTATAAAGCATTTAATTTTAATTAAGCATAAAAATGATCTTAAATTAAAAAAAACTCAAATTTTAAAGTGTGTGGGTCTTTTTTGTTTTTTTAAAAGAAAGAAATGAAATTCTAAAAGGTTATTTTATGAAAAAAAAATTATAACTGCTAGCCCTGAAATAATAATCCTCTTTGTGCTTTAGCCCATTAATTTTCCACAAAATATCATTATTGTCTCATTGAGCGATTAAAATATCACAAGCTCAATTGGAACAAGAAGCATACATGCTACCTTTTCTCGAAGCAATAATGGAAATAAATTCATTGGAATATGAATAATTAAAATTGGTTGCACGTTTTTGCTTGAACTTAAACATTATAAAACTACTTTTTGGTTATATATGCAAACGAATGACGAAAATCATGATGCAATCCACGGATCCACGTTAAGTAAACAAACAAGACTGCATCAGTTTTTTGCCAATGACTGAAAAAAATAACGAACCATTTATTGCCATCCATTGAAAAAAAGCACTAAAAAATTTTTAAAAACAGCAGGACATGATATGGATCACAGGATACGAGAGTCAGAGTCTCCCACATCTGAAACAATACCCGGTGAAGTTAATATTGTATTCAGCTGAGACGTCATTCGATACTGCTTGTGATGTTATCACAGGAAATGAAAGATAAAAGATTCTGATGACTCTTTTATGTCCGATGAGCAGGTCAAATAGGAGTATGAAAGTGGGAGTAGGTTGAGGAGTGGGAAAAAAATCTGAGACGTGTGCAGCTCCGCTTCAGCCAGCAGGTAGTTCAACAAGATGGGACTAAATTCTACATGGGAGAATGTAATTTGCGCGGAAAGAAAAACAAAACTGTAGTGATTCATCCTTCCAGTACATGTTATGAGGCAGCGCTACCAGCGCATTTAATAACTTCAACCTAGTAACTACTACTATAACTTTTACTTTTTCATCAGCTATTGTTCAGTACATTTCTGATCGAGATGTCTACAAAAACGGTCATCCGTTCTAAACTCCCAGTATTTTTGTAACCTGTTATGTTTGAAATTCATCATTAAAAGTTTTTTTCTAATCAATTGGTTATGATGTATCAATGAACACACATTTATATACCTTCACCTCAATGGTGACTGCCAGACATTCTGTTTTCGTTTTAATGTATTTCTGCAGTTTTGTACACAGTTCTAACTAAGGCACAGTTCTAACAGGCTCTGTTGGACTCTGTCATAGGAAATTTAACTCAAAAGCACATAAATGTGTACCTCCCTGTAATTATACAGTGTTAAACAACAATGGCAAGGAGTAACGATGACATACACCTCGCCATTCACCTCTCGTCGCCTCTTTGTAAAAGATCGCAAAAAGTAATTTATCCTTTCTATTAGAAACGGGAAGTGACTGTTCTTTGTTTACCAGCATCGAAAATAGATAAAATGTCTGCTCCAATTCAAACATTCATTGTTGCTAATGGAACTTCTAGTTATGTTTATAAACAGAAATTATTATCCATTGATTTATGTTTACAAAGACAATTTGTATATCCTTTTTATATATGCAATGTTTCAACCTCCATTATAGGTGCTGATTTTCTGCATTACTTGAATTTAAAACCAGATGTTAGAAGACGTAAGTTATTTGATAACGAAACTCATTTAAATTCACATTGTGTATTTCAAAATCGTATTTCGCATAGTATAAAAAAAACAATTGTATTTACATTTTTATTACTGCATTTTGTATTTTCAATATGTATCATCTTATTGAACTCTCATATTGTGTCGTTCACCTTGCTCACTGGGGGAATACTGTGTAGTGATTCATCCTTCCAGTACATGTTACAAGGTAGCGTGACGAGCGCATGTAAAAACTTCTACCTTGAAACTACTACTATAACTTTCACTTTCTTATCAGCTGTTGTTCTGTACAGTTCTGATCGAGATGTTTACAAGAACGGTCTTCCGTTCTAAACTCCCAGTATTTTTATAACTTGTTATGTTTGAAATTTATCATTAAAAATTATTGTCTAATCGATTTGTGAGGATGTATCAACGAGCATGCATTTATATACCTCCACCTCATAACTTCAGCTTTCGAGGAAAAACTGGGTAATTTTGAATTTAACCATAGATTTGTATAAACTTCGGGAGATTTTCGGATTTAATTCCGGTGGCAAGAGAAGAACACAAAATGCGTGAGGGTAGGCACATCTGCTAATGCATTATGAATATTCTGCATTGCTTCCAGCATCTAGCTATTACATGCCTTTAAGTGTCACTTAATTAAAATAAACATAAAAGAACAAGATGGGAACAAATTTTGCATAGTCTTTTTTAAGTTCTACAAGTTTTGTCATATTTTTAAATAATACTTTTAAATATTGTTTAAATAACCCTCAAGTTTCATTTGTTACATGAAAATTCTCCTTGTGACCATCTGAAAATTCTAAAACATTTTAAGTTTTCTAGATAAAAATATTTAGACAACAAAATAAATTAATGTTCTTTATAAAATTATAATAAAAAGATACCTAAATGCCACAAACATCAAGTTCCACCATTGTGATAAGAATATGATACATAAATTATATAAAATCGATTGTTACACACAAAACTTTGTAAAAGCTGGTGTAACTGCAAAGAAAACCTATATTAAAAAATTAAGTGACTTCCTCAGATGAACAGCAAGTAAAAATATTAATTGCTAATAGTATTTGAATATTTTAATTAAAAAAATATATGTTCTCATTTTTATTAAAAAGCATTGGAAAATAAAATGCAAAATTTTAACTTACAACTTTCTATTTCTACTGTACAGTTTTGAGAATCTAATGGATAATAGTGTAAATCCATCATACAAGCAAGCGTAGTAGTAAACCTAATTTTTAAAATATTCATGAGTACAGAAATTTTTAACAGAAAAGAGACAAAAATTTATTTAAAATAAAATAATAATTGAAAATACAACTTTGGATATAAGCACATATTTTATGCCTAAAGCAATTGGGAACAAGAAAAAGGGTAATTATTCAATAAAAAATTTTTGTATCAAATTAATTTAATACAACAAAAAATATTGTGCCTAGAAGTTAAGTTACAACATACTCATATAAATGACAGTTTGATGTAGTTAAGTAAAGTTCTTACACTAATCTAATACAGAATTTTACTCAATATTTGAGTAATTCTGAATTCAGTTTTGGTTTCAAGTAGTATGAAATAAAAGAAATAAAAAATCACGAATAATTACTTTAAATTACTTTTTATATAATCTTTAGAAAAAAAAATTTCAGTTTTTAAAGCAAAATAAATTTTGATTTTCTTAAATATTTTTAGAGACACGGCAAAATGTGCAACAAGTAAAGTTAACAATTAAGGGAACAAAACTTTCTTGATTTCCTTATTAAACTATAGGGACCACTAATTCCAGAATGAGGCTATGTGCCTTATTTTGATGATTAAAATTCAAAACTCACTCAAAAAGGTATGTTTATTCAGGGAAAGAACATTTTTTTGTGTATTTGATTTTTTTAAGTGTAAAATATTGAGCTGTGATGGCTCAGGTGATAGAGTGTTCGCCTTCCAATGAGGTGAACAGGGTTTAAATCCCAGCTATGGCTGGTTGATATGAATTCCCCATCCGTCTTGCACTGGCCACAGTACTGACGTAAAATATCCTCAGTGGTAGACGCATCATGGGTTAGAGTCCCCATGCCGTCAGGCTAACCATGGGAGGTTCTCGTGGTCTTCCTCTCCATTTAACACAAATGCAGGTTAGTTCCATCAAAAAAGTCCTCCACAAAATCAAATTTCTCCCAATACTTAATCTAGGAGTTCCCTTGTCTTCTAGATTGGCTTCAAAGCTACAAGGCTATGGAGTAGCCGTAAACCCAAAAAAATTGGATCGGCCGTTCATCGACGGTTATAAAATAAAATAAAATCTAAAATATTGTCTGTCCAAATTAATTAGCACAGTTTTGGTTGATTCTTTGAACCATAAAGATTGTAAGTATGTGATTTGATAATTAAATGAAAAGTCATTCAAACATTCCACTTTTTCATGTTTGCCCTGTACAAAAGCATCTTTCAATAAATCTATGTTTTTAAACAGAGGTCTTAGAAAATCAATTATTTCAAAAATTTTAAAGATAAATCATTACATTACATTCCTTACTTATAGACTTGGATCTTCTAACTTATCCGATTTCTCTGGGTTTTTTTTTTTTTTAATACTTTAAGTATGAACTTTTGTGTATAAACCTGGTTGTTAAGTGGATACAAGATTCTTTTAGTGAAAACAAAACTTTTAAATATCTCTTTTGTACAGATTCTCTTTCTTCACTTTTTCTTTTATGCGACACAACTTCTACGGAGAAGCTTGTGGTGGAAATTCACTCGATTTTGAATACTCTTAAAAACGTAACTATTCATTTCTCTTATGTTCATGGCCATAGCGGTACTTTGGGCAATGAAAAAGCAGACCAATTGGCTAGGGAAGCTACATGTGGTGAAATAGACTTAAGGGCGTCTGTTCCTGCTTCTCACTGGAAGCGTATCGTGAGAGATAAAATCTCTTCGGACTGGAATACTGAATTTCTTGCTTCGACAGGGTCGCTTTGGACGAAAAGGTTCTTTCCATTCATTTTTCACCATTTGCAATGTAAATTTTTAGCAACTAATTTTAAATTAACCCAAATTTTAAAAAACCATGGAAATTTTAAGAGATATTTATTTCGTTTCCATCTGATGACCAGTGGAATTTGTGCTTGCAGCGATGCAGATGAAGACGCTGAGCACATTCTTCTTCATTGCAATCTGCATGTGAGTGCCCGAATTAAATTAAAGACTGTTTTGAGGCGTCTTTCTATTTGATGGCCTCCTGTTTTTTTTAGAATTGGACAAAAGTATCGAAAGTATTGCTGCCTAGCGGAATTTTATTTTTAATGCAAATTTTCTTGTTTTTGTTTTCTACTTACTTCTGTAAGCCTCATGCTATACTTTGTGGTGCATGAGGAGTTTTCAATCATTTAAATAAAAAATACATAAATAAAAAAATACTTTAAGTAGCAGCAATATAACAATAGAACTTAGTAGATATTTTATTAATAATTAACCAGCACTTAATGTCACTACATGACACATTTATGTATGGTTGAATATTTGTATAGTGAAACTTAATTATTACATACTTATTGTCGGTATTGTGTGTTGAAAACTGCTTTTACTTGTTTTGGACTATTAGTTTCTATAAGTGGAAAGTATAAATTTTAATGTCATAATGTATTATCAAAAAAGATCAATGTTTAACAATCTAATGTGATATTTTTCCAATTTAACTCATTTATATTACTTTTTACACATGTCAAAATCTTTGTCACCAAAATAAAATTTATAATCACCAGAGATGCCAACTGCTATGGACATGCCAAAATAATAAAGAAAAAAAAAACGGTAAATAACTACAAACTAAATTTTACAAATATTTGACTAATTTTACTTGCTCATTAAATTGTATAACATGCCATAACTAATACAGAGTGCTGAATTATATAAGCCTGCAAATTATTTAGAAATAGTGGTGGATAAAAATCAACCAAATTGAATTTATTAAACCAAGAACCACAATTGATAAACTACCACTTCAAAATATTTATTTGCTGTCCTGAGCAAGTTGGCATCTCTGAATCACTCAGAATATTATCGTATTCAATGATTATTGTGATGTATAATGGTTGCAATATTATCTTTTTGATATGTTATGTTATCAATAACGATTGTGATATTACCAAATTCGATATGTATTGCTAATGTTAATGACGATATTGTCATGTTTAATCCACTTTTGTGTATTATCAGTAACTGGTGGTTAACCAGTAACTAGCTTTGATTCTATGTGCTTTTGAATTTAGCTACATGGTCCTTATAACATATAAGAACCCGAAAGGTACGCAGTTATTTGTTCTTTACAGAATAGAAATCTAACTAAAAATAATTTAAATAGGTAGGTAACAGAATTATTACCTCATTCCATATTTTATGTTCCCATCAGATGACAATCGAACCATCTTATTTTTCTCAGTAACATCATGTAAAAATGAATTCTTGTCATTAGCAAAAAATGTATCAGGAACCCAAATTTTGTCAGTAAAATCTCCAGAAAGTGTAAGTTCATATCTTTCACTGCTGAATGCCAGTCTTTCATCTTGCCAATACTGATTGAGATAAAGGGTGAGAGTATAGTCCTAAAAAAACTGCAAGTGATCAATATACTTAAAAAATATTAGTTAAAAAAGTTAAAATTAGATTTAAAATAGATAAACATAGATTTAAAATAGTTGAACATAGATTTAAACTTAAAATTGCTTAAAGGGGAACAACACTGGGGTGACTTGGGGTAATTCCTGATCAAAAAAATGCAAACATACATTTTGTTATAAAAAAAACTATTCAAGATAGAATTTTAATATTTACTAGAAGTTTGAGGCTATATGATATGAATCTTATGCTACCTTCTTTTGTTTGAAAATCAAATTAGAATTCAAAATATTATAAATTGTTAGTGATCAGGAATTACCCTGGTCTTGATCACTTCTGGGATAATTACTGATCAAGAGTTTTTACAGTAGAGGAGCATTTTAAAAATAATTATACAATGGTAATTAACAAATAGACATCAACCAAAAACGCATGTTTAAGCAGCTAATAAGACGATCTATTTAAAAGCAGCAATAAAGATTAACACCTTAAATTTTCCAAAAATTCTGGCAAAATTTCTTAGAGCATTTAAAAGCACTGTTTACTGTTACATCATCAACAGTAAATGGGTCTGTTCCATTTAAGGATATGAGTTCCTTTAAAAATATACTTAACTGTTACTTTTTCAATTTTGTCACATTTGGGTCATCTGAAGTTGCTGGCGCCTCTTTTCAAGAATTTCATTTCAATTATATCCTCATCTCTATTTATTGCTCTACCAATATACACAGGATCATTATCACAGTAAATAGCATAATAACTGTGTAGTAGAATATTCTTGTGAATATTTGATAGCATGAATTTAGCATCATATAGTGGAGTATTTTTATTTATTTGGACAGCACATAAATTTTCAGCAATTGATTCCATCGTATCCTTTTTGTCTACATCCTGCTCATCAACTTTTGTTTCTTTTTTCTAGATTTCTTAAATTTATGAATATCTCCTTTTATTACCATTTCATGTTCTCCTTCTCCGACTCTAAAAATTCCCAACTCTAAAAATTCATTACTAGTGATCACTTCTGCATTGGTTTCGATCTTTCTCCTTATCTCAGATCGAGATAAAGATCTTCTCATTATCTCAATTTTTGGCTCTCTTCTTAAACGAATGCTTAATAGCTCTTCGAAGGAATGTGAGGGAGAAGATACAATTGGTGTAGAATTTCCTGAAGACCCAATTGTCAGTGGTAGTAATCTCTTTGCGGGGGAATTTAGGAATGTGAGAGAACTGAGCATCTGACAACAAAATCTGTAGGATATTTTTTCCTATCAACTGGAAATATTCCATTGGAACGGAAACCAGATTTGATATTTCCTGATGTAAGCGTGTTAGGATAGATTTCTGCAACAAATTCAATAAAACAACTTTTACGGATTTGTGTAAGTGTTGTACTTCTGTATGTCTTTTATCCTATTTCATTTTCAAGAGCCGAAAGCAACATTTGTAAAGGAGTTGTAAAATGTCAGTTGTATGTGCTGGAAGTTTTAAAATGGAAATTCGCGCACTCTGGGCTCTAGTTATGAGTCTTGCAACCATCATAAATAACTAGCAAAGAACAGGTTTTTACTTGCTCACAAAAAATAATAAACCAAAAATAAAAACTTTCTGTTGTTATCCATCCAGTTTCACTAACAGTCAAAGTTAAATTTTTGGCAAATTTGGAAGATCTCCAGGTACTTTGCAGTTTTTTCCAGGAACTTTGCAGTTTTAGCAAATTTATTAGCTATTTTTGATACAATTTATAAGAAGAAATGACAATGATTAGGAATTACCCTAGTGATCAATAATTACTCCATCTGTAAGGGCAACATTTGATATAGTTTCCTGTAATTAATTTCAAGAGGAACAACTAACCAAAAGCTTCCACTATTTTTATATAAAAGAAAAAGAAAGTATTTCAAAATATTTATTAGTAAGAGAGGGAGGGGGATCTTTGCAAAAATGTACACATTTAAAAACCAATCTTTGAAATGGAAAATACAGAAAGCAGCTTAAAAGATGCTTATTTTGTTAGATAAAGTAGAAAATTATTATTAAGTAAATGTAGTTATACTTTAGTAAAGTGCTCAAAGAGTCTTGTCCATGTTTTAAATTTAAAAAATTCTTTACAATTTTCGAAAAATTCAACAACAAAAAAGTATAGTATTTTTTTACAGTTCATCCTTTTAAGATTACCAAAATATTGATTTGATTTTTGTAAAAACATAAAAATTACAACATAATATGCCAAGCGTGGTGTGTGGTGCAGAACGTGCTGTGATATGTATTAAAAGTTAATTTGATAAATGGATTTGTTCACTCTTATCAAAACCTTATAGTAAAATACTAACAATTTAACTATTTTATTGAAATTTTTTAAAATTATGTTCGAAAAAAAATTATGATACTTTCAATATAGATAGTTGAAATTGCAACTTATTTAGCTGTAATAATTTTTAATAAAGGTTGCAAAGGGTCATTGACAGCTTTGGACCAAATAGAAATAAATGCAGGCCCTACAAGATCAACAAGAAAAAGAGCTAGACTAGCACTTAAGATTACTAGAAATGATGAAGAAAATTGTTTCATTTTATTTCCGTGCCTTTATAAAATTAAACAATTATCACAACAAATGATGCTTATGAAAAAAATAATAACAATACAGGGAGAAATGATTATATTAGTTGGCCATAAAATAATAAAAAATAAATAAATAAAAACTGGAACCACAGCTAAAATACAAGCGAAACATAAAATTATATTTGATTATCACCAGAACTTCAAATACAAATTGTTTGTATCATGAGCAATAATATGTGAAAATAGTTATTCTGTTTTTGAATCTTTTGGCAATTTTGAATAGAAATTTAAAAAACAAAATTGTATAACAACATCATGGGTGCAAGTTGGAAAAAAGGCCAAGACTGAAAATTTTTTGACTGAAATACCGAACATACACAATACCCCTTTGACATATGCAAAGTATCTAAGAAAGCTTTACCATAATACATCAAGTTTAAATACTGTACAAAAAAATATTTATTCATTTCTCTTTTGATAAAAATAACAACAGGACATAAGAAAGTAAACCAATAACGTAGACCTAAAAAATATTTTTAAGGACAGAAAAAAAAATCTCATTTTCNCAAATTGTTTGTATCATGAGCAATAATATATGAAAATAGTTATTCTGTTTTTGAATCTTTCGGCAATTTTGAATAGAAATTCAAAAAAACAAAATTGTATAACAACATCATGGGCGCAAGTTGGTAAAAAGGCCAAGACTGGAAATTTTTTGACTGAAATACCGAACATACACAATTTGTCTTCGACATATGCAAAATATCTAAGAAAGCTTTACCATAATACATCAAGTTTAAATACTGTACAAAAAATATTTATTCATTTCTCTTTTGATAAAAATAACAACAGGACATAAGAAAGTAGACCAATAATGTAGACCTAAAAAATATTTTTAAGGACAGAAAAAAAAATTCAAATTTCCATCTTCGAGTAAGTCTTGTTTCCGTCTTACTTCCGTCCGCGGACATTTTTGAAAGACGGAAATCCGTCCTGGGGACGGAAGACTTGCACCCATGAACAACATTAACAGAACATAATTATTAAGTTTAAATTTTATTTTAATACACTCTGGAACTAAACCTATGTTTATGCAATAAAAAATTTTGGAATCTTTCAATTGAGTTATTTGGTAACAATTTGCTGTACCAACAGAAATAATAACATAGCAATCTAAAACCTTCCAATAATGGTTACATTGCAACAAAACAATTAACTTTAACTTCGATGTTTGAAACAAAAGTTGTAATCTCATAATGGACTCAAAAGTAGAAATTTAATATATTTCTGAGAAAACCTGGATTAGCTGGGCTTTTTCAACAAAAACTGACTTTTAAGCTCCAAAAAAATTACATTATTTCGCTATACAGTAAAAGAAAAACACTGTTTGACACTGATCAATTCTAATAATAAATACATATAACTGATAGAAAAGACACTTCATTTATCCTTTGTATATTTTTATTGAGAATTTTTATGAGTGTTTATTAGTAGAAACTGTGAAAATGTTGTAAAAGAGTTATTATTCAGCTTTTGAGATACTACTGAATTTGAAACAATTTAGCAACATTTAAAGTAGTTATTTCCAGTATCATTATAACATAGAAATTTTATGTGCAAAAAACTTTCAATTTCCAATTACATACGTTTTTACATAGGTTTTACAGATAAGAAACAAAATAGGTAAATGCATGTAAAAGCAGAAGAAACCATTGCATGGGACCTAGTAGATATTTTTTTGGCACGAATTAAGAACTATCATTTGTTATAAATTTGCATATCATGCTTTATACAAGTTTTGGCTTGTCGTCAAAGGGAATACAGAGATTTACCTAAAAAATTACGAAGTGAATACAGAAAACCCTAAAAACATTAATTTTTTTTCAGACATTTTACCTTTGTGAAAAAAGGCTTTTCATCTACAGAATAAATACATGAATCATCTGTTAAGGCTTAAAAACAGTGCTTAGGCAAGACATTAAAATCACCTAATTTTCACAATTTTCTTAGAAGAGCAAATTCAAAACTGTTGTAATAAAATTACAATGCGGATTACAAAAATTAAAAATAAGGAATAAAAGTTGAATTCGGGAGGGGGGGATTTCTACAAGAGTTTCAAATGTCAACCGTTCTGAACACAAAAGAAGACACCAAACTTTTTTAGAGATCATTCAACTCAAAATTTTGTGAAGTAATCAGAATAACGTAAATGTAATTAATTAAATTTTAAATGCAAAGTTACAACTTTTCTATTAGAATTTTATCTTAAAACTAGCTTACTACAGGCAAAATTAGAGCAAAAATCAAGGAAGAGGATGCTGTAAGCCGGGGAAAGGTTTGCTGTTTGAGAACTTAGTTCAAAACTTGGTGATTTTTCTAATGCAGGTACCATTAAAAAAAAAAAAAACCTAATTTTCAAACATAT